AGCGCGGGCCGTGGTGGGGCAGCCTGCATCAGGAGCCAGTGAGCACAGAGTAACTGGTGCCCGTGTTGGCTTACTCCACTCCTGGACTGGGTGGGCAGGGGACGCTTTCAGAGCAAGAGTTTTCTTTGTTTTTTAGGGGGCATGGGAATAGTTGCAATGCTGGCCAGTAGCATCTGCGTGGTGCTGCTTCAAGGCATGCCCCAAACCACCAATTCATCCACAGCCGGAGTACACAGGAAGTATTAAATAGCAGGCAGCATCACAGTCTAGTCTTAGGAGCTGCAAGAACTTTTGGCAATTTTTCTTCCCAATTTTTAAATCTCATTACAAGTGAAAGATGCCTGTGCAATTAATTCGGAGCTGACATGACAGTTTTTCCAACAGGTGCCCAGCAAACAAATTTGACAGCAGTGCAGTCATCTGTGAAAACAGCTGGTCCCAGGGGTTATGCAAGGAGAGTTGGGTAACAGACAGGATGCTCTGTGCGTTTAATTATATTTTCTTTTAATCTAATCTCTGTTGAGGCTTTTGCTCTGTCTATGCTTTATCCGCTGCACCCCATGCCTTACTTGTACATGCACAAACGTGCTCCGAGCCCCTGACTGTGCAAGCAACCTCCAGAGAACCATGAAGGGCTCTGCTTCCGCCCCTCCTACAGAGCACTCACCAGGTCCCGGGGGCTGTGCCGCAGCGATGTGCCCTGAAACACGGCACAGCTGAGGTGCTCCTATGAACCCTATGGCCAGCACTGCTCATCCAACCTACGCAGCAGCAGCCAGGGTAAGGAGCCTGGGGGAGCCCCTCCACACTGCAGTGCAGCTTCCCTGCCTGCCCCTCCCTGCCTGCGGGGGCCCTGCATCCCCCTGTAGACGGGGCCCGAGCAGCCACAGCCCGCCCGGCCCTGCCGGTGGCCCTGGCACCCAGCAGGGCAGCACGCAGAGGCCCTCCCCAGCCCACATGCAGCTCCCTCAGCCGTTTGGCTGCCACCATGTGTGCACCCATCAAGCTCTAAGAGCCTCGCTTAGACTGGCTGCCAACAGTAACATCAGAGGAGGCTGCAGACACTCTGTGAAGTCCCATATTCATCTGAACCTCTTGCAATATAAACAGGTTGGAAAGCAGAACTCTTGATGCATGCCCTGACCTGAACTGTGCAGAAGAAGGCCTCACACCGTGCTCAGCAGAGGTGAGATCCCCACACACATAGCTGTCCAGGGAGCTGTGTCTGTACTGGAAAAGCACCAGGAGGGAAAGAACTGCAGAACAGCCAGATTTGACCATAGGATAGTACTTCCAACTGCGCACACACATGCAAGCATGTGAAGGTGTGCCTGTTTGTGTGTGCGTCCACGTCTACCATCTACGCACAGAGCGCTCTCCTAGGGGATGGAGCAAGGACTCCCTAACTGCAGTGGCAGCATTTTGCCCTTGAATGGCGTGGCTCCTTTTCACCCCACTGGGAGAAGAGCCAGCAAGGGGTAATACTCGCCGAGACACAGCAAGAGCGAGGATGGCATTGGTGGGGGGGGCTTTGCTGTAGCTGTCAGCTCCCTCACAGCCAGCACCAAAACCCATGGAAGCAAACTAATAGCAATTTATTATGTCTTGGTAGGAGGCAGGGTGGTTCCTTCTCTAACTCGAGACAGGATCCCTTCAGAAGCCAAGGGGATGCGTCGCATAGACCCCCTTATTCTGCACCACTGCATGCGATATGAGCTTCATGTTACTGCAGGACTGATTCCATGTAGACGACTTCACCACTCTCAGATTTACCTTCACTCGCTCATATGCCTGCATTGGACAAAGACATGCTGTTACCTATTAGTTATGAAACTACTGACCTCCTAGTCCTCATGTAGTCAGCTAAGAACGAACCTCTATAGGACCCGGGGAAGGGGGCAACGTTTAGCCTTCAGTGTGGGCACCTAGATCACAGACTGCGGCCACAGGAGCTGTGCAGACAGTCCCAGCCTCTGTGTCAGAGTGGCCACTCCGCTTACCTGCTGCCAGCACAGCCCGCCAGCCCTCACCCCAGACGCTGCTCACTAACACACTGTCCTCATCCTACTGCCAGCACCATGTGGAGGGCCTGCCCAAGGGGACAGCGATGCTTCCACAGAGGGGCCTGAGGGACCCCAATGAGTCTACATCATCCCAGGGCTGCACAGCCCAAGCTGTGCTCGATGCAGCTTTACGGCTGCAAAGGACAGATACCGCAAGGTGCAGCACCGTCGGAAAGAAGTCGTCAAAAAGCCCATCCCAGGGCCTGCCTGAAGTGGGGTGGGGGGATAGGAGGACCACACGAGTGCTAAGGTACTGCATGCATTGAAGCACAAATGACCAGAGCTGACAGCTGAGCTTGCTGCTGGGACATGTTTCCAAGCAAGGGCTGGTTACACCCTCTCCAGGGGCACATTTTTGGGCTCTGCCTGATCACAACGGGAAGCACCAAGGTGTTTGCTGCTCCCATGTTAGAGTGGAGAAGACTCAGACGCCTATAGCCGAGTCCCTGCTTGGGGCCGTGAAGCCAGGACACGTTCACCAGCTGCCCCTTCTCCAGCACTGCCAAGACCCTCCTGCCTGTCATCCCACCTTGAGCACCTAGCAGCTCAGCCCCTGCATAGTCTGGGGCTCCACTCAACGTCCCACCTGTCATTAGCTGGGACCAGGACTCTGCTCGTGAGCCAGCCCACCTTTAGTACACACTGGAGCAAGGGTACAGGGAAAGGCATAACCCTCATAATTGCACCTAATTGTGAGGGAGGGGAGAATTCATCTCCATCTGCTAAGCATTTCATACCCTAGAGCAAAGGAGTGGAGGCACATCAAAGAGCAGAAAGCTGGAGAAGGAATAGGAGCACAGGAAGGAGGAGAGCCAGGAGATAACTGGGGCAAGGAGCAGGGGGGCACGAGGCACACTGAGAACACTTCGTGCAAGAATGAAGCCTCCCCCACAATTCTGGATGATGAGGCAGCTGCAATGCAAGAGTACAGGGTGTGTGCACAGCACATGGCGGGTGAAGTGGTGCAGGAGTATGGAGGGACAAGGTGGTACTGTCTACAAGGCACATAAGCAAAGCGTATGGGGTAAGGCAGCCTGCACACATGGTAAGGTGGCACTAGGGGCAAAGCATATACGGGATGAGGCAGCACTGGCTACCCAGCACCTCTGGGGCAGTTGTAGGAGAGGCAGCACTGGGTACAGGGTGTGTATGGGTTGAGACAGTGCTGGGTACATGGTAGATATGGTATAAGGCAGCACTGGATTAAGGGCACATATGGGGCATGTGTGTGGTGAGGGAGTGCTGGGTACATGACATTTGCAGGTACATGGAAAGGTGCCTGAAGTCCGTGGGCCAAATACAGGCAACTGGTCGCTCCAGGACCAGTCAGCACAGGCATGGGTCAGCTGCCCAGTGACAAAGCCATCAACAGGCCACAGCAAATGGAGCAACTCAATCCACTCAGCCCCATGCCCACCTCGTGGCACCAGGTCCGGCACAGGAGTTTCTCATGTTCTGCAGATGCTTGTTTCAGAGATAAGGCTCGGCTGGCCCTAGGAAGAGGAGGTAACTGCAGTGAGTGCTGCTAGCAAAGAAAACTCCCTTGTCAGAAGAAGCTGGAACTGCAGATAAAATCCAGTCAGCTGAGGGCTGAAACACGGCAGTGCCACTCTACCCCTGAAGCTCTATGTGCAGGTAACCATCGCTTAGCGCAGAAGTGAGATTCTCCCATCACACACCCCAAGCCACCCTGAAGCCAGCTGCCGCAGTCTGTGATCTAGGTGCCAGCTGCTGTGCAAAAGAGGAGCTTTAGCTGGCTGGGCCTGAGTAAGACCTGACTTCCAAGGAAAATGCTGTCTCATCACAATGTCCAACATCCTGACCCCAGCAATGCTGGCTGCACCCTCTGGGGGCTCCTGGCTGGGCCAGGGAGAAGCCTGCAATGGCGGAGGGCCCCAGAAGCTCTCCTTGCCCTGAGACCACCGAGGCAGCAGCCTGCCAGGGAGGTCCTTCCTCCCTTAAAATACCATCTTCCCCCTCCACCTCCCTTGCGCACCTGGAGAGCACCACGGCCATGGCATACATATCAATTGCAGCGTCGGCCACACGCTTCAGGTGGAACTGCTTATCTGGGAACAGAGACTGCAGTGAGCTGGGGCTGACGCGATGGCTGCTCTGGCAGTCACTGCAGAGTTAGTGCATGGCCACAGCTGCCGTTGGGCGAGAGGGGCCAAGTGCTCAGCGGGCAGCTCCTGGGAGCAGGGTCTGCTGTCGCTCCCTATGCCTGCCGCCACAAGGGCTGAAGATGCCCTCACAGTGCCAGAGAGCACGGAGACATCAGACCTGGGCTCAGCCATGCTGGGTGATGCGCAGGCAGGCAGGGAAGCGGTTCCCGTTGACGCCTGCCCTGCCAAGTCTTACAGGCTCCAGGCCAGCACATGGCGCTGTGTCCGACGAGGCCAAAACAGCATGAAGCTAATACTGGCCTCCAAGAGTCATGTTTGCATCCCTGAGGGTCAGCATTCAGAGCTGGGCCAGTGGAGGAGCACAAGCCAAGCTAGCAATGCAAGCTCTCAGGAATGCTGCTACTTGGGGATCTCACCCCCTTCTGACACAGCACCTGGCCACAGGGCTCACGGCTCGTGGCCTGATGGTGGGATTTCAACAGCTGCAGAAAAGCACCCACCTGTTAGCCTGGTGCCAAACTTCAGGAGGAGGGTCTCTACAGCTTCCCCCAGCAGGTCTACAGCCTTCATCAGCTTTAAAGAAAAGAGAGAGGTGACAGCCTCTGGAAGAAAGCTGTGACAGGGCAGCAGCTGAGACAAGCAGGCTGTGCACAAGCAGCACTCACTGCAGGGAGGGATACCCAGCAGCAGGCAACAGGCTGGGCCCTGGGCCCCAGCAGTTCTGTACCTCCCACAGGGTGGGAAGGCAGCCAAAGTGACACCATCGTCTCAACCCAGCGATGAGATCAGGTCCAGGCCTTGACATTATGCTTAGGACAGCCTAGAAACTGCTCAAGCTCTCCTCAGCAAGAGAGGTGTCCAGCCCCGAGGCACTGCAGGAAGGCCAGTGCTCTGGGCACACCCTTTGCTTGCGGGACACCACCAGCTTCAGCATGCGTCCAGCCCCCTGGGATCCACCTGCCCAGGCCTCCCTGCCTGTCCCCATGCAGATGTTTTCAGCTCCAGATGACCATTTGCCAGATCAGGGCGCTGATGCTCTAACTCTGACAAACTGCAGGCAGATCCGCCCTGTGCATGCCGGCAACCCCCTCTGATATATGAGAAAGATCCCTGTAGTGGTTACACTTGGCAGCTTTCCTAATCACTTCAGTTAGCTCAGGGGACTTTTAAAGTAAATTTGGCCAAAGTATAACATATTCACCCATTATTCTCAGTGTTTGGTTACCTGAACATTGTGTTCTCGGGGGATATACAAGATGCACAGATACCACAGATCGTGCTATGTCTCCCCAAGTCAGTTATGAGGGGAAGAAGCTCTTGGTTTTGGAGAGGAGCAGCACTGAAGCTTTGGGGTTCAAGTTTAAAGTGAGTGAAGACGTGTGAAGGCATCCTCTGCACCAGGAAAAGCTGCCCATGCAAACAGTGTCTTTGACAATTCATCTCTGTGCCAGGACCATCAGCCCAGGTCCCAGGGTAAGGTGCTCCTGACCCTGTGGGTCCTGCAGAGAGACTCTCAGCTCTGGAGCCTAAAAGGCAGCAGCCCCAAAGAAAGGGTCGCTGAGGCCTGGCAGCGCTGAGTGTCTCAGGCACAGCAGCACAAGCAGCTTATTTCTGCATACAAGTTGCAGCTTGTATGACCTACCCAAAGCCTCGTTTCCTTTAGAAGAGAGAGGAAAACAAAAAAAAAAACACCTTGCAGGAGAAAAGCCAGAGAAAAGGAGGGAACGAGGGAATTTTCCTCTGTTTCTAGGAGCGGCAGAAAGTGCTTTGAGACCTGTTCATGCAAAATGGTGTAAAATTCGTTATGACACCCAAGGAAATAAACAAACCCTGGAAGCAAGAAATGACCTGTGGGATACTGGAACTCAGTCCAAGGCAAATGCACAAAAGATGTGATTCATATATATACAATTAGTGAGCAGCTCTCCACCCTGGAAATTATCCAATTACATATTAAAAATGTAAGAAACTAAAGAGAGAGATTGAAGAAGTTGTAAAACTAAAAAAGGTGTTACTATTTAAGGGATGAACCCTGTAGTGCAGGAACAATAGCTGTTCTGGCTCGGCTCTGAGGAAGGCTCTCCTACCTGGACTGCACTGCTGTCGAGGTCTGAATGAACGAGTCCCTGGAGAGAGAAGCCAGAAGGGATCCCTACTTTTCTGAAAATAGAAAAAGGAAATAGAGAAAAGAAGAACTAAGACAAAGAGGTGCAAAACAGGCTGCAGAACAAATCTTTGTAGACAGAACTACACTGCGGAGCCACATCTGGACCAGCAACAAAACTTTGGCCCTGGAGCGTTTCACCCCTGTGGACGTGCTCACCATAAAAATTACAGTTCAAACAGTGAACTTAATCCTGGCTCTTTGGTATGTCCCAGAAGTGTCCAACACCAAGGTCAGCCTTATGCTACAAAGGTCAAACTTTTTTTCGTTTTGCTGCCCCGTTATCACACATCGCAGACAAGGTGCCGAGCACGGCATGCATGCATGCAACCTGATCTTGTTCTCGCTGACAACAGTGACAAAGCTTGCAGCGGAAGGAGGCAGGGCTGGACTTCAACAGATACAAGAGCAGATCCTTTGCTCTAATACCACACTCTTGCAGACTACTGAAGGCTTTGTGTCTGCAAATGTTAACCCCAATTTTAGCACCTCCAGAGGCTGCAGCTCTGGCAGAGCAGCTCCCTCTGGCACTGTGCATTGGTGAGCTCCTTGCTCACTCCTCACACAGGTATTTCTGTGCTCCCAGCTGATCCAGGCCCACAGGACACACAGGCATTCCCAGTGCTTACCGCTTCGCTCTCCATCCAATTTCTCTGAGGACAGCACGCACTTTCCCGGGTGGGTTCATGATGCTTTTTTGCAGGTTCTTTAAGCAGCCCCCAGCGTACTGAAACATATTTTAAATGCTTTGAAGAACATCATTTAGCATGCTTTGACGACAGCTTCTGCACAGGGACTTTCTGGTCTCCTGGAGGAGGCACAATGATCTATTCACAGCATTACTAGATCTGTCAAACAGATGCCCAAGACCGTTTAAAACCTATTTTCTGCAATTAAAACAAATGTCAGCACCTTAGTGCAGGAGTGCATTAATGCAGTTACACTGTTATATCACATTTGTTATGACCTACATACAACCTATATATTTCTCATGATATATATTCATAGTGTGCTGGTTACAACAGCTTGACTCACTGAAAAAGAAACAGAATCTATTGCATTAAGAAATGAGGGAATATCTCTTACAGATTACGCCATTGTCCCTATGCAAGCAGAACAATTTATATTCACAAAAGCCCATGCAAAGCTTTTTGCTTTCACACTGACGATCTGAGATTCAGAAGACAGAGAAAGGTCGGGCGGCAGATGTCAGTCAGCATTCAAACCTGCCCATCCAATCAAGTCTGCCTGTTGCACCATTTGCTGCTGTGTAGACGTGGTACCCAGGAGACTGGCCTCCTTCACATGAGCACAGCATATTCACATTAACACTTCTCTGCTTTCAAGGGCGACAAGCATCACTATGCTGTAACACAGACTGTCAGGGCCTGATGCTGCGAAGACACAGGTGAATATCAGTGAGTCTGTAATAATCCTGAGCTTTTATACAGCACTTAAGGCTAAGCGCAGTCTGCAAGCTGAACACAAAGTCCTTCAAGAAGGGAAATTGTCTCTCAGTGGTCCTCAGCAGGGAAATGGAGAGGAGCGCTGACGCCTGAGATAGCCCGTGAAGTGAACTCAGGTCCTGTTCCCAACGCCCTGCTGCGTGAGCAAGTCCAGGGCTGGCCTTCAAGTTACCGAAGTCACATCAGCTATAAGTCATTGAGTTCAGAGGTGGCTTCAGACCCTCAGATACCCCCTCAGCCCTCACTCATCCTCCTCCTCAGACCACTACAACACAAGGGAGGAGGCTCATACCCCTTTATGTATGAGCTGGGAAGTCTGGCTCTCGATCCGGATCCAAGAGTGGCACTTCAGCTGCCAGAGCATCTGATGCAAACTGTTCCTTGCAGAGGCTGAACGAATGGACTTGGGGCCACCCTTCAGGCTCTGCTCCAGCTACACAGCTGGTGGTGGACTCCAGCAGGACACTGTTTTCTACCAGCTCTGGGGTCTGTCCTTGAGCTGTGTCAGCTGCTCAGCACAGGGCAGACCCACAGCCCTTCCTGCCCCCGTGGAGGGGCTGGTGCCAGGCTGGCTCAGGGCACCTACGGCTTCCTGGTCACAATGGCAGCGCCAGTCACAGAGAGGCCTGGAGTGCTCACCCTTCCCGGGAGCACCCTCCCCACTGTGGCTGAAGCACCTGCGGCCTGTTGGGACAGAAACTCCCCCCTCCAGAGGTCACTTCTAGATCTTTACCTGAACCCCTGTCAGTGCCACAAACAGCCGGAGAACATCATTGGTGCCCTCAAAGATGCGGAAAATCCTCAAGTCTCTCATGATCTTCTCAATGCCTGCTTCCTGCAAAACGGGAGATGCTCCAGCAAAGCAGGACTTGCTGGCTGCCCCAGTCACGGCAAGGCAGGGACACAAAGCAACAGGCACTACTGACCACAGAGCTTCACACAGTGCCCTTCGGTCCCCTGGCTGCCAGCCCATATTCCTTTACCTGCATGTATCCCATTCCTCCGAGAACCTGGATGACCTCGTCCGTGACATGCCAGGCTGCTTCCTAGAGATGAAAACATCATGAAGCAACATGGGAACATATCCCACCTGGATGCAGCCACTGGGAGCCTTCACCATAATAGCTCTGCTCTTGCTCCCTCTTTACACCTCTGGCTGGCTTTAATACTGCCTGGCAAACGTGTCAGGTGATACTGGACTAGTATTTTGTTACTAGCACCAAGCAATCTTCCTGGGACAGCCAAAGAAAGCCTCTGGCCTGCATTTCCACCCCAGCTGGGTGACAGTCAGCACAAAGAGGAGGAGGACTGGAGCTTAGGGCTGCAGGACGTTCCAGGGCTGAGCTCCATGGAGAGGCAGCTGGGAGCAGCGAGCCAACTAGCCAAGGAGGGAGCTGCCCTTGGCCTTCAGAGTCACAGCTCCAGTCAAGACTCAGGCCAGTGGGACCCTGTAGACCTCGGACACTGAGAGAGACCAGGCAGGCAGAGATGCTGAGCTCGCAGTACGACCCTTCCCAGGGGAAAGCAGGCCACTGCCAGACCCCGGAGCTTGTCTCCCCAGGGAGGGGCAGCAGCAGAAGGCAGCGCTTAGGCCCTACCAGTGGAGATGTGACGTACTGTCATTGAAAGCACTTACTGAAGCAAAAATCTTGCTGATAGCAGCTTCCAGCTTGTAATCAGTCACCTTCATGTCCATGTTGGCGCTCAGCACATAGGCCATTGACTGAAGAGGAGCTGCTGGTCAGGTCACAGCTGTGACAAGGACACCTCTCCACCCCTCACCCTCAATGCCAGCTGACACAGCCCATCAGATCCCTGTGGCACTACTGTCCCATGCAGCCTGGCCCAGACAGACCCTGCCCCTGTCCCCAGCGCTTCCAGACACGCAGCAAGCAGCATGGCTCTCCAGGGGAGCACTCACTAGCCCTGATAACCCTGGGGCCTTTTCATTCCCAGCTTTGTCATCCCCTGCCCTGGCCTGGATGGGAGCCCTTGCTCCATGCTGGGTGGCAGACACTTTGGCACAGAGTCTCCACCTTGCCTCAGTGCAGGAAGGACGCTGCCAGGCTCAAGAGAACAAGTGCTTCTGTGTGATTAGGAGATACAGCCTATATGCATACTGAGCTGGGCCAAGCTCGCTCAGGTGCAGGGGATAATGACAGTGGCATAAGCAATGTGGCAGCAGCTGAAAGGAGTCTGAGCATCTACAACCTTTTATCCACCCTTGTCCCTGTATGGTCTGACCACGTCCCATCACCCATCGGAATTGCAGCTAATTTCTGCCTCTGAGGATTGCTTGCTTTCTCAGACTCCCAGGTGAAAACTGCATGTGCAGGCAGGTGTTTGGTTTGGGGAGAGGAGTTTGTTGCATTTTGGTCAGATGAGGAGGTTTACTCTGATCTCAGACCACTTCCAAGATGACTCAGCATCCCACACCAAGGTTTACCCTCTCTGGTGAAGGCACCGCTGTGCACAGCAGAGCAGCGTTGGCCTCTGCTAATCCAGGGGAGGCTGAAGAATTTCTCACCTCTGTGACGTAGTGCAGCATGGCCATCCGGGCAATTTTCTCCTGAATAGCCCCATAGTTGCTTATCTTGTCTCCAAACTGCGTGCGATTAGCAGCATGGTCTGCCTAGTGTTACACGAAAGTATGTTATCACAGTGAGATAGGAAGAAGGGAGGAGATGAAGGCCTCACAGAAAGAGGATTTTTACCAGGAGACAGAGCTCCATGATCTGAACATATATTTCCATCTGAGCAAACGCTGTGTTGTTCACATTAACAGGGCTTGGAGGCAACCTGGCCTTTCCCTCCTGGAGCCTGCGCGTTTCCCCTTGCTTCTTTTCCTGATTTCTGCCAGAACTCTTAGGGTTCTGTCCCAGTGTTTTGGAATGGATCAGGTGTGAGGTCGCAAGCTAGCAAAATAAACTGAGGCAGGGAAATGCCCTGACAGACTTTTCCTTTAGGTCAGCCCATCACTTCCAACCTCCGTCTCTGAACCACCTAATCTCACGTCATATATTAGAGAGAATTTTAAGAATCTCTGTTCTGAAGGACCAACTCACACCACTCAACGCAGGCTGCAGATCGTAAAGACACAGGCATATGTGTTTGGCTTTGCCCATGAATAGCTGCACTGAGGCCACTGAGTCTGAGCGCACATGCCTCACACTGCAACACAGGCCTAAGTGTTTTCTAGACTGGAGTTTGCATTATACAGAAAATAAATAACAAATTCAGCAGTCAGTGCTCTAACTTTGTTTCAATACATAGTTACACTCTGAAATGGCACAGAGATACCCTTCATACTGAGTTTGAATCAAACAAGTTAGAAGATTTTAGGAAATATTAGTTTAGACAGTGTTAATGATACTTTTATCTATGCTTCACTCTCTAGGGATACTAGCCAGGCATGTATTTCAGGGTAAAGAGACTTGGGATGAGACAACAGATGGGTTATTCGCTTACCTTGAACGTTTCTGAAAACGCATTTGTGACTGTCATGCCTTACATGCCTAGCCACATTTACTCTTGCACAATATCTGTTACCCATGGGATAGAGCAAAAGCTTCCTGAGCCAGGTAGCTGCACATGAGAACTTCCAGTTCCAACATGGTCATGGGAACCTCCTCAGGATGGGAGCCTGGGACTGATTCGTAGTCTATAAATGCCCACGTGTAGACAGAGCTGGAAGCCAGCTCCTGGCCCCTGAAAGTGCCTGCAGGCAGGGAGAGCCTGCCAGAACCACGAGCAGGACCCAGTATGTGCTAAGGTGCCATATCTGCCTCCCGCGGTGTGGTGAGCTGGTTTCCTGCTCCTATTAGCACCTGCAGTGAGATAGTGGTAGCCTGCCACGGCTGTCTCCGAAACTTGAAGGAATCAGGCAGTTCATATGTGGGTGTGGAAAAGTGCCAGAGGAGTGAAAACAGGGTCAAGATTTAGGGGGTACAGACACAGTCTTAGGGCCTCACTTGTCAATAAAGGCCCTAATATGTGTAGGAAAGGCATAAGGTTGGGACTTAGTGTAGGGGCTGAGAGTATGCGAGGGAAAAGAGGATGGAAAAATGCCTCCTGCCTGTGCACATGATCTGACAGCAAATCCCCATGCAAGTAAAAGCACCTGCCAGCACCATTTCCACACCGGTGCTGACCTCGAGAAAATTCAGTGCTGGAGTCCCTGGATAGGACTGATAGACCGCTGCCCCCACCTGACGATGCAGTCGCACACCTCCTCTAAGCCACCCCTTGCCACAGAGCCAAGCTACTGCACTATCTAATCTTCTTTAAATAAGAGTAACTTACAGCTTTGACAATCACTCCTCGCATGGTCCCTGCCAGGGCAGATGCCATCCCAAAACGGCCATTATTCAGTATGTTCATTGCCACCTTGAAGCCTTTCCCAAGTCCCCCCAGCAGATTTTCTGCAGGCACTTTCACGTTATCAAAGTGAACTTCAGCTGTATTGGAGCACTTGATCCCCATCTTCTTCTCTGGAGGGCCACTAACAAAACAGAAAGGAAGATCACAGAGGAGGGTCTGGAGGGCCACAGAACAAAAGCCCTTACCTGGCTTCAGTTCGGCAACTTTCCTTGAACATGTGCGTTTTGTGCATGCCTTTTTGCATGTACAGTTTTGACATTTGTACAGGCATGCTGGGGTCCCCAATGTGGATGGGAGGGAGTGAGACAGAGAGATTTGCAGTTGCACAGCAACAATTGCATCAGCTGGCCTCGGAGGCTTCCTCAAGGCACATCTGGATGTGGGAATGTGGGGCTGGGGGGACAAGAACCTCTTTCACCTCCCAGTAAACTTGCACCAGCTGCTGCCCACAGTCAGGCCTGCAGTGGTGGAGTAGGAGGTGGCTTCTTGTCCTCCCTGAGGCCAGGAGGAATGCAACGGCTCTGCTCCCTGCAGGTCCCATGTGCAGGGCCTGGATGCCTGCCAGGGCAAGCACATAGCTGCTAGGGGTAAGTACACGTGCAAGTAGAAGAGTTAATGCACACAGCTTTCTGTAGAAAGAGGAGTATAGCCTTACTCCAAACACCCACTGGATGTCTCCAACGGGACACTGGGCCTGCTGCATTCCTCCCTGTAGTTAGTGATGGAGCTGTGTGGCCTTAGCATGGTGCATTCCTTATCCTTATTCCCTCCCTTATTAGTCATGCTTCTTGGAGCAAACGGCTGCAGCCTGCAAGGGCTGGGGGTTATGTTCATTAGGGGTAGAAAGGGAAAGTGCTTTGCTGTGCACAGAATGGTCGAGCACCTCTGAGCAGCTGGAAATCAAGCAGAAAATGCAAGGACACGAGGTGCTGGCGGTCTGCCGACTGATTGTCATAGTAACTCCGGTTAAAGTCTCACCAGGAAAGCAACTTCTCATACAGTGCTTGACCCCCCAAGGTGAGAAGTACCACCAGCACCCCATTGAAACATGATCTCTCTGTCAGGAAGGCCCTAAAGATAAGCAGTAAATGATGATGTAGAGCTTCCTACAAGCCACAGTTCAAGGTCACTGGGCATGTGCTTGCTGAGTGATGGTTAACTTCAGCGCAGCCAGCGTAAAAGCAACACAACAGTGTTAATGTCTGCCCTCAATGCTGGCATCTCCCTCCTCAAGGCTACAAAAGCTCAGAGAACATTATAAGTTAGTTTTAGCAGCTTTCACAGGGAAGACTAGACACTGATGCCGTTTTTTATTCTACCACAAAAAAATAATTCAGCCTATGGAAATGGAAAGAGCTAACGGCTAGTCTGACATCAGTTACAAAAACAAAAGAAGTCAAACAGCATTGCATTGCATTGTGATGCTTACTATTTGTTCTTTTTTTTTTTTTTATACTTTCCAACACGGACAGGATAGTGACACAGATGGCTTGGCTGGTAAGGGAGCTTAGCACAGGCAGAGTGATTTGTTCAGGTTGTTTAGCAAGCCAGTATCAGTGATAGGAACAGAATTGCCAGATCTCAGTGCTTGGCAGAGGTCTTTACATCTTGCCATTAAAACAGACCAGCTCTTACCTGGTTACTCCCCCAAATGCTCGCTCGACAATGAAAGCAGAAATTCTTTCTTTCATTTCACCTGCTTCTACTTTTATTGGTGTCTTGGCGAACACAGTGAAGATCTCAGCTATCCCTCCATTACTGCAACACAAAGTAGACAGCAAAGCAGTGAACACCTTCTCTGCATAGTCTACACATCATGGCATCGCGTCTTTTCTCTCTTTTTCTCTGCTTTTGTAATTCCATGGCCTGCTTGTGCTTAATGCAAAATTCGTTTTATGAGGGATAGCAGCAACAAAAACAACTAGTCTGTGTATACCTTACTACAGCCCAGCAAACTGAGCTACCAGAGAAACAGAAGCTGTCTGGCCTAGGCTCTGGGTCAGGACAATTAGCTGAGGACTCGAGGGTGCCTGAGAAATCCTGTCCCAGGCCTCACCTGATCCAGATCTTCTCTCCATTGAGGGTGTAGAATTTGCCACAGGGGCTGAGGTCGGCCACTGTCCGGATGGAGGCTGCATCCGAGCCGCTAGCGGGCTCCGTCAGGCAGAAGGCAGCTGTGGTCTCCCCTGCAAAAGGGAGAGAGCAGCCAGCTGGGTGCAGGCTCCAGGCACCCAGCTGCGGCAGAGCAGAGCGTACCCTGTGCACCCCCGGACCCAGCCTTCAGGCTCTGCTGCAGGGTGCTGGCACAGCAGGTGCCCAGGAATGACTGAGTGCATGTGACAGGGACTGGGTGGAGGAGAGGACAGCACAGCACCTGGCCAGCACAGCACCACAGGCCCTTTAGCAGACATTTCTCAGGGTGCCTACCTGCCTCACAGCCCAACAGCATGACTCAAGGCCTGTTTCAGAGCAGCCGCAGAAGGCAGGTCCCCCCCTGCTCATAGCAATCTCCAGCAACCCCTGGGGCCCTCAGCCAGGGTAGCAGGGCAGCCGGTGGTGCAAGCCAGTGTTGCCTACAGCCCCTGGGCCAACAGCTCCCCTGATGGTGCCACAGGCACGGTCACAGCACATCCCCACTAGCAGGAGATGCAAGCCCAGCTTGTTTGCTGCAAGCCCCCCGACAGCCCCCAGCAGTGAATGACTGATAATGCCCACTGGGCGCCCTACCAGAGGCAAGCTTGGGCAGGTACTTCTCCTTCTGGCTCGGAGTCCCAAAGAGCAGGATGCCCTTGAAGCCGATGGACTGGTGCGCACCGAGGCTGATGCCCACACCGAGGTCATGCAGTCCCACTACTTCCACTATGCGAGCGTACTGCAGGGAGAGATGGGGGGCCAGCTGTTAGACTGGTCGGGGAGGGGCTGTGCACCTGTCTGTCAGCACACCAAGGGCTGCAGGCCAGGAAAAGAGAGAACAAAGGTAAGAAGAGCTCACCCATTGCTGTCTGGTCAGAGGAAAGGTGCCCCCAAGCCCTAGGCTGCAGACCTGGACTCCATTGCTGCCATCGTAGGCCTGGAACTGGCCTGCTGCTCCCCCACCCCCACCTGCATGGGGCCCCAGCCAACAGGCTCATTACCTGGCTGTTCTTCAGCCCAGTGCCTCCCAGCTCCTCAGGCACCTGCAGCCCAAAGGCTCCCAGGTCTTTCAGCCCTGCCAAGGTGGCCTCCTCAATGGACTCCAGCTTCTCATTTGCAGCAGGATTGTTAATCTCCTTCAAGCAACCAGAGAAGATGAGTGAGGGGCTGATACCACCCATTCCTCAGGGAGGATGTGTCAGGGGGAGGATCCCCAGTTCTGGCAGGAAGGGAGGCACTGCCAGCAGTGGTGCCAGGATACTGCAGCCAGTCCCACACACCCTGTAGCAGTGAGGGGCAAGCCTGAGTGCCATGGGGTGTCTGTGTCCTCCCTTCACAATCCCTCCCTTCTCCTCGTGTTTCCTTCTGGCTCAGGAGACACCTTATGCAAAGCCCTGCATTGCTACCTTCTGCTCACACACAGGCCACAAGGACTCAGGGACTCCACAGTCTGACTCAAACCAGGGGGACAGGCTAAAACAAATGCTATGGTTATCTGAGACACTTAGTAAAACAGCAACAACGAGGAGGCTCTTGTATGTGTGTGCCTGTGCACACACATGTAAAATTATATGGGAACACGTGCATGTGAGGATGTGCACAAGCATGTGTGTGTGTGAGTACACATGCTCATGTGTATAAGGGTATGCAAGTTGACACCTATTTGCAAGTAGCTGTGCTCACCAGTGCGTGCACGTGTGCATGCTTCCATCTGTAGATATGCATGTATATAGGTGCAGTTATGTACATGCATATGTGCATGTGAACGTGTGTGCCTGAATATGCACGCACATGTGCATGTACATATTTGTGCACACACGTGACTGTGCACAGACATGGGCACCTGCACCTGTATGTGTGTGCAGGAGAGTCCGAGTGTTGGGATATCTTCAGATCCCTGCAGAGATGGGGGATGCCACTGACCTCAAAGAAGCGGGTGCAGGGACCTAGCAAGGCTCGCAGGGATTGCATTTCCTCCTCTGTGAGAGCTGAAGGAGAAGAGTGGCCTGATTAGCAAAATATCCTTTAGCCTCATTACTTTATCCAGAACCTGACTTTGCAGAGCAAGGAGGGAGAACACTGATGTGCTTGACGGTGAGTCAGCGGCATGGCAGGAGCAGTGGGCAAGTGCCATACGCCTTGGCTGCTGCCTTAAGGGCCCCCTGTCAACAGCTGTTTGCGTCATCTCATCCATTTCCTAGGGGACAGCTGTTCTCATCACCAGCGCATGGACCACTCCTGGCACCCCCAGCAGCGCACACATGTCCAAATGCCAGTGCCCGCATCCTGCCCACTATGCAATCACTTGAGTCAGTGATACTTGGTGGCAAATGGTGCTGGCTCCAAGTGCATGAATATAACTCACCAGAGGGGAAAGGGAAAACATTGTCGGGTACAAGCTGCCCGTTGAAGATATTTCTGACAAAGGAGGTGGATTCCTAGAAGAGAAAACAGGTGGTATCAAGGCAGTGGCAAAACCCTGCCCTTGCAGAGGGGAGGACTGAAGCCAGGAGACAGCCTCTTGCTTTGCATTGCTTGGGGGCATGTGATGCGCAGAGAGCCCTGCTAGAGAGCAGCCGCAGAGCCCTGGCTCGCTGCCTCGGGTACCAACAGCACGCGGTGAGGCAGGGTGTGTGGCGAGGATGCTGCTGTCGCCTGTCCCCATGGAAAGGTTCTGCGTGTCCCCAGGGGCCACCTCCTGTCTCCTGTTCCCAGAATCGCTGGTCAGCTGCTCTGACGACAGCCTGCTTCCAGCATGTCAAGGACACACTGGAAGCCTTCTGGACAAGGCCTGAGAGGGAGAGAGGTGGACTCCTCTCCACCAGATGACAAAGCAGCTGCTCCCCGGAGCTTTCCCAGCAGGCAGATGCTGACACCCTGACTCACCATCTCCACATCACTGGAGTATCCTGCCCTGTGGTGTGTTACGCAGCACGGCAGCGACGGCAGCCTGGGGAGAGAGCAAGCCACTGTGATTTGTGCAACGGTCCTTCCCCAGGAGCCGCGTCAGCCTCTCGGGGCTGCCTGTGCCGCGCTGGAGGGTGCAGTCAGGACCCCAAACCCTGTGGGCATGCCAAAGGCTCCCTGCAAGTGCGGGCAGTGCCCTGCTCCATCCACGTCTCTGGGAGACTGTGCACAAAACCAGGCTCCTAGGTACTTTCACCAAGTGACATTTTACAGTAAAAATACATAGAAAAGGGTGAAAATTTAACAGCCATTCATGAGCCCTGTCTGTGCCAATAGGGATATCATTAATCAGTGCCAGACTGGTCACTAAAGATCTCTCTTGTTGCAGTGGGGACTTTGGTGACCACATTAAAATACTTCACTGCTACAAATAGTAAAGCCGCAAGTAACTTCCATTAAGTCCTCCTGGCCCTCTCCTGCTCTTCTCCTTCATTTTAGCTTGTAAAATAGACGTTACATCAGAGAATTGCTAGATATACTGTGACGTCAAGAAAACTGTTTCTGCAACATCTAAGGAAAATGTGCCGGACTATTTCTGCGTTACAGGTGACTAGAGATGCTCCCACTGTTTGCTGAAGCTGGTGAGAACCAGGAAACTGCTAGGCAGTTGGTGCAATCTCATCTGCCACGTCTTGTACAAGTGGCCAAAGGCCCTGACGTGGCACGTTTGGAGAGCGGATGACCTTGTGCCACGCTGGCTAGGAACAGGCAGGCACAGGGGGAGGCAAGAATGAGGAACTGGTAAGGAGGCTCAACAGTCACTACGTGATCTTTAAAGTAAAACGATAAAACTTATGGCTTTGAGGTCCATTTCATGATGCAAGGGCTATCAATCTGCAAAGTGGGCAATGTTGTAACAGTACCATCATGGCTTTTAAACCCTCACTCTTAAAAAATGCAGGTATTTTTCCAAAAAGCAAGAAAACTTCAGATTCTTTCTCCATGTTGATTCCTTGGGGCTGGAGCCTGCCCAGTGGCAGGGGTTCCTACTTTAGGGATCATCTGATAATGATCTGCATTATCAGAAAAGAGACCAGAAAAATGGCTCCCTGACCATATCTGTGGAACCAAAACACAAACAGCTTCTCTGTTAAGGATGGAGAAAAGTAATACTGCAAATCCAGAGGGAATGGAGTGGGCAGAGACGTGCTGCTGCATGCATTAAGGGTGAGGCAAACCACCCCGAGGGAAGTGAGTTGCTGTATGTTCACTGCATCACATATGTGGCAACAGTACCTGAATGCTGGCTTGGCCAGGTACTGTGCCCAGGGTTGCCTTCTGCAGCCAAGATGCAATCTAGATCTGATCAGGTGAAGCATTTTTCCCCAGAGGCAATGCTCAGCTCACATGCTTGGTGGGGAGAAAAAGACAAAGGTAAGAAAACACTGTAACGAGTGCTTATGATGAAATCACTCTGTTTTCCCCAGAACCCGCGTACATCTGAACAGCTCCTCCTCCAGTCCCCATCTTCCCCATGCCCAAACCCTAAATCACCTCCCTTGGAACTGCTCCTTCTGTATTTTCCAGTGTTTGCAGACAACCAAGCTTTTTTAAGCAAGTCAGCAACCTAATGCACAGAGCAGCCAGGGTGTCCGAGCAGCCGCTCACACCAGGAGGGCAGTGGAGGTGCCAGCCCAGGCTGGCAGTGGGTGCTGGAACCTTGCCGTGCCACCGGCGGCACTGTGATGCCACAGGCCGCATTATTGCCAGCCCTGCTGCAGCAGCTGAGATGAGCCAAGGGAGCACAGGGTGCTGGTAAGGGAGGACAAAGCAGAAGAGGAGCAAGGAAGCAGCTGTCTGCAATAGATACCCAGTCCAGCCTGCTGCCTACCCAGATCCTGCCAGTAACTGGCAGCAGCACAGACAAACCACTCTCAAGAAGTTCATATTTGAGACACTCAGCTAACAGGCATGCAAGCATGCCTGATGCCATTTGCCGACGCCTAAATCCCCTGACCTTTCCTGGGGTTGCTGTCAACGAAATACAAACCCACACAACGTAAACGTCCCATAAGCAGTGCTGCGCACTCTGTCAGGCCAGAGTGAGAAATAAGAACAAGGTAGTTTGCTTGCTGCACTATTTGGCTTGCTCTCGCAGTTCTAGACGTAGACAGATGGTCTCGCTTGCGGTCTCCCTTGCCCCACGGGTCTGACACTGCTTGTGGAAGGGGAGACCAAGAAGCCATTCTGTATGGCATGGCCAGCACGAGGTAGGTGCTGGGTAGGACAACACCAAAGACAAAGTGAGTGCTGAGCACAGTGATGAGGCTGGACTCCAACTTTGCTTATCAAGGCTGAAGGAACCAAAATTTCGTAGAGGGACACATTTTTACTGCACTTCATGTAGTGCCAGAGCAGGTTTGCACTCCAAAAGTGCGTTTCCTAAAAAAGGTGCTTCATCCTTCCTAAAAAAGGAGGAGACAAAAGGACCAGTGTGGAGTGCCTGAGCCCTATGCAAGTCTGCAGTAACAGTTTACAGAGGGGCGTGAGGAGCTGGTGGAAGGTTCCCGGCCGAAGGGGGAACCGAGGCCATTCTGGCTGCCCCAGCTCTCAAGCAGCTCCACAGCCCTGATACACCAAAGAGTTGATACTGTTGGCCAGCACCACTGCATGCATTCCTGTAGCAGCTGATGTGGTCACAAATTAGTGCATGCCTGTCTCTCATCCTGAATAATGTTTTGAAGAGCCGGTTCATTATCAAGACACTGCAAGAGAAGGCACTGCACACTGCTGGGAGCATGAAGGACACCTGCTTACACGCCTGTACAGCAGCTTCGTGCCTCCTGATACGCTTCTGAAAGGCAAGACTACTATTTCACATCACTTTTTTGAACAGCGTGTAAAGACACAGCTCTTACCTCCCTGAACAAGTGGCTGGGGGAGAGCACAAAATCACTGTATCAGTACCATCCTTGTGGCTCTTCCCGCACTGCTGAGAACAAATAGACTGTAGCTGGCTCCAGGCCAAACCCTGGAGGTGGAGTTGGCTCTATTACAAATTCTCATGCTATTTGCGGGTCTCTTCAACTCCCAGTGCTCAGGTTGCTAGCTGAGAAACTTGCTGGTATTGGTTTGTGTTTGTTTCTGGTACACTCCTTGGCTTTGTTGTTGCGAAACAGCAGCCAGAAAGACAGGCTGTGCTGCTATTTACACAACATCATGGTGTTCAGGGGGGTCTCCAAGCTAGAGAGATAAAACCATCCTGTATTTCTGAGGACTTAAAGCTTCTAAAATGTTAAATGACACTCACGTTTTAGGGTACACTGGACGGCAATATTGCAGAGCTGGGTCATGGAGCTGGTGCACTCACCCGGATGATCGGTCCCCCGGCAGAATTCCCTGCAGAAGAAGAGAGCTCTCTAAAGTGCCCTGCTCCCATCCGCTCCCCTTGCTGCCAGCAGGGCTGCTGGTCAGCATCTCTCTGTACGAGGCAGAGCCTCCGTATCATTTTTGGCCTCCTGTGCTTGTCATGGAGATTTTTAGTACAGCTTTCTAATCTTCATTTGACATGTTTAACACTTCATTTTTTTCTACTTGATAGTGCTGATGTTTCTCTTTGATATCCTCTCAAAGGGAAACAGCCAACCGAATTGGTGCGTGTTGGAGTGTGAGCGCTTTTCTCTCTTTTAAACCAACAGCCTCAGCTAGCAGGAGAAGCACGTAGGATGGCACATGCATTTCCAACTTCTCCATGTGAAACCCTGAGCCACGCTTCACTGTTCGATGCTGGGCACTGTCAGATCACGTTAATACCTTTATCTAACCCACACAGTCTTTCAAACTGGATGTTGCATTCCCCCCATGTGCCAGGCTGCACACACACGGGAGGCTTCAGCAGACCTCAGCAGCACTTCTGCCCTGACTGGGATCTGTGAGGCAGCCGCAGAGCAGTGTCCAGCCTGCGCAGTGCCAAGCTTCAGCACTCAAAAACACAACCAAAGTGGAAAGATTGAGAACTAGGGCTCTTCAATCAGGACTGAGAATAGTCTTCAGATATATAAAACGCAATTATAAAGCAAAAGAACAGGCTCCCGTCCATATTCCCTGCTGGTGGACAAGGTGCAAGAGATGTGAAGACAAGAAGCCGTGGGGCGGCCGGCTGGCCCGGGAGGTGCTGGAGTCCCCACACAGAGATCTTCGGGAGCCCAGAAGGCACCATCGGGGTAGCAGAGGTAAGGCCAATGCTGACTTAGGACTGAGGAAAGCTGCCCTAGATGATCGCTTGGGGTCCTTCCCACACTGTTTTTTGCAACCACTGCTATATATGAAGCCATTGCTATCATTAGCCTCCTTTTCCCATAATATGTCTGGCAGTAGCGCAGTAACTCAGCTACTAGTTCCAGGCCAGACATACAGTAAGTGCTTCCCAGGAAGCTGAACAAAACCTTTGGACAGCAGAAGCTTGAACTCATATTCTCAAATCGTAGACTTTCCCCAACATCTAACATTCTCCATCCTTGGTGTCAAAGTAATAGGTTAGACAGTAGACAGTGCCAACACCCCATGAGTCAGTCACAGGCATCATTTGGCCAAAAAAAGGATTATTGATAAACCTGGGCCCTCTAGGCAGAGTAGCGCAGCTACTTTGCTCACATGCTGGTACCCCTTGCTCTGTTTTTTTTGCCAGCGCTCAGTAACCAGTCAGCACATACAGGGCCATCGCTTGGAAGCATATGGAAATATTCTGACTGACAGCATTATCTAAGAGAAATTGCATCCTACTGCCTGCAAACACTTCTCCAAATGCTGATTCTTCCCTGTAAGCTAAGCAGACTGTAGAGCAGCACTTCCCAATAATATTACACAGTTCACGTTTGGTATACTATGCTTACTGATCAGTTCTGCAATTGCTTGAGCTCTTCAGCTTCACGAGAACAGCCGCCTTCGGATTTCAGCCATTCATGGCAGTGGTCAAGTCTTTCAAAGCCCAGAGGAGGAAGCATAAGTCCTCACTGTCTATGTAGCTCATTGTACAGATAATACATGTAAGACTACCAATGAGGGATCTCCATAGCAACATCTTTCTTCCTGTCTCTATATACAGCACCTGCCTGACTTTAACCGCTTCCTCTGCAGCCTTCTGGTTTCTCTTAGCTTTTAGAGATGATCTTTATTCCCTTCACCTACAACAAATATTTTGCCTTTTGAATTCACCCTCCCTTTGCTCTCAGTGGTGTTTTCGTGTCGGGACTAAGCCAAGAGCCACAAGTGCTATGAGGTAGGGACACATACTGGAACTTGTCAGGACAGAGAGAACCTGAAGCTATTTGCCGTACCAAGACACACTCACAGTGCTCACTTGGGAGGCCCCTTGCTGTGTGCAGTTGAACCAGAGCAAACTCTACATATAGAGGACCACTTCCCACTTCCTAGAGCTGTCACATACACCCCTCCCGACCTGAAAGGGAAAACAGAGTCATTTTACAAAGGCTAAAGGATGCACCAAGCAGCTGTACCACAGCTGTCTGCCAAAGCATTGGAGGAACGTGCAGAAAAAGGAAGGACACTCCTGTGACCTCTGCAGTTGGCCCTGGAAAGGAAAGCCAGAGATGCCTCTGGCAGCCCAACTCCTCCCAGGATACCACAGCGAGACTGAGCAAAGGAGCTTTGGCGGACTTCCTTCAGATGTGGCTCAGCTTCCTTCTGTCTCCTCCACCCCCCAACTTTGAAGGTCACTCTCAAATAAAATTGAGTTTTCTTCCCACTGTTACTCATCAGCAAGACGTGGTCTGCCCTCAATGCCTGCATTAATGCTACTTCATAGCATGAAGCAAGGGCACATCTGCCTCAGTGAACAGATTTCAAAGCTGCGCTGACACTAGCGGCTACTGAAGCAATCCCAGCAGGAGGTCTGTTCAAAGCCTATATGCAGTTGCAGCACAACCAAGCAGATTCAAGCTCCTTCAACTCAATTAACTCTTGGACTGACCACAATCCTGCTGCAGAGTCTTCCCTGACATTAGGGCCAAATTCAATACAGATACCTGCAGCTAACACAACCACCAGGGGAACATTCACATGAAGGTTACTGAAGGTGTGCGTGATGGGAAGACACCCATCACTCACTAGCAGAGGTCAGATCCGTCTCCTCTGTGCATAAGCAGTTTGGTCGCACAAATTAACGAGCATCTAACGAGGTCAAAAGACGTAGGAGTGGCATGCTCTGAAGGAAGCAATTCTTGGCATAAACCTTTCTCTTTTCTTTTTAAGATTCAATGCCACTGCATCGCAGAAGCTGAATGTTCAGCTGAAACAGCAGGAGAGCAGAAGGAGACAGAAATTACCCACTGGAATCATCTCGATATCGGGGTTTCCCAGAAGTGCTGTGGGATCTCTAATAAGCAAAACCTGTTTCTTCCACACATTTCAGTTCTTCTTTATGCATGCAGCAGGTCTCTGAGATGATTGTTTTGTCTGCAACCGTTTTCTTCAGAAAAATAAACACGAGTTATTGAGTTCTCACAATCCTTTTAGCCTACCAATCTGAATTCAGTTATTAAAGACTTAACAGGAAAGTAACCACTTATTTTTACAGAGGACAACATAAAGTGACTAAGTTATTGAGAGGTCACAGGATGCACATAATAAAAGAAAAAGCTGATCTGCTCTTGCATAGGGCTCTCCCACACCTCTCACCACAATACGAGCAAAACCCAGTTTTCACAGGACACTGAACGACAGCTGGAAGTTCAAGATGGGAAGGGATCTCCTCAGTCATCTTGACTTTCCTTTGCTGCCCAGAGTTGATGTGACCACCTCTGCTGCGGAGAAACATGACACTTCCTCTTCTAGCACCAGTCTGCTCCTCTCACCCCTGAGCATCCACCCAGAGCTACCCACCCAGGCAGAAGTCAGACCTGGCACTGACAGCTCACCTGAGCACTTCCTTAAGGGGCAGAGGAAGGGACTGGGACTCGCACGCTCTGAAATCCCTGGCTCAGACAACAGGTCCGTCAACGGCCTCAGACACTCTTCTTGACTTACAAGTCTCAGTTCCAGCTGTAAGAAGAGCTAATCCTTCTTACCAGACAATTGTAGCATTTGGTTTAGCTACACATAGAACGCTGAGCCAACCAATAACGTGCATTAAATGTGCAGCACCAATCCCTTGAATAGCGTCATCTGAGGAAAACCACATAAAATACAAACACAGATGACGATGTGCTTGGAAAGAGGCTTACCTGTAGCTTCCATTTGCTGAGGAAATGCAGGATCGGCGGAACTGCAAATACACTATTGTTCTGGAAATGGCATTTGCAACTCAGGCAGTGCATTTGTGGGGATGTACACACACACGCGTGTGCACACACACACATACAGAGATTTCATTAACTGGATAGCTGAGAAGACCTAAGCAGAGACCGGGCAACTTAGAGGCCGTATGCTTAACATCACAAAGACCAAACAAACAGGCAACAGTGAACGATTCCCAAGTAGAGTCCCAAAACAGGTGAGGAAACTGGCTTGTGAGAAACCTTTTCTGAGGAATCTCTTTTGTGAGAGACCTTGTTCCCTTCCACCCATTTCTGCCAGCAGCCCCAACCGGGAGCATGTCAGGGAAGGATTTTGTGCTGGTCACTTCTGCAGTACAAAGCAACCTTGCAGAGAAGAGCTGGACTGATGAATTCAGCACTCACCTTGGACATCAGCTTCAATATCTTTTGCCCTTACCTCCATGCGAACCTGAGCAACTCCCTTGCTCTTTCTCTTCCTCAGCTCTTGTCCTAAAAATGGGAATAATATCCCCTCCTTTCCCAATCAAAACTATTTGCACTCATGAGTGCCCCAAAACAGCCAACACAAAACAGCTCAGGTCACTCTGATTTTACTGGTGCTAAGCACAGTGAGTTAAACTGGCTGGCACACACGTGAACCACCTTCCACTTCAGGACCCACAGGAAGCTTTGGCATTTGTGAGCGTGTGGCAGACAGCAGCTATGCTATCTCTGCAGAGCCTAGGTCATGCTGTCCGTTCTGCTCTAGGCTGTTCTCACTGAACTTTCACAATCCCACCATGTGCAAAGCCCACTGCCACACTCCTTAATCACCAAGCCCAATTAATTCTGGAGTCAGATTCAGAAAGAGGAAAAAGAACAATGTAGAAATGAGCACCGGAAACATGGACACGTGCTTGACAAATCCCAATTTATTTTTTTCTTTGTGCAAATCAGTGCTACTTAACATTACTCACATTTCATGGTGTAAGGGACAGAAGTGATTACAACATTGTTCAAACAAGCTGCAGTCCTGTGGAAGAGTGGGATCATTTTGCATGCTGGATCCCAGACAGTCTCCATGTGTTGATGATCCGCAATAAAAAAAAGAATTGCACAGCCAGCATTCCAGTAGTTATTTGTAACATATGCTATCTCCACAGCATCTCCAAAAGAAGCCTGCTTTCCTCTCCAGGCATCACAGCATTCACAGCTGCATCCAAACGCCAAGCAGTCACAGCCCGTGGCATATAAGAAGTTTATAAGGCACAACTTCCAAGTTAGAGCTAGCTAAGATAGCCAAGGAAAGAGCAAACGATAAGCTCATTGAAGTCACTTAATGTCATGTAGGACAAGATCTAGGCAAAGCCTAGCAGTAGAATGGGAAGCTGGTCCTACAGTTCACATGTCCTAGAATGAGACGGTAGATTCCGAGCCTGGCCAGCAGTGCCCAGAGCCAGTTTGCTACCACACTAGCAGTCACCACTTAGAAAGAGGAAACAGGCTGTGAAGCCAGGCAGCCCCAGCACTTGGTAAAACGATTGAAAAATCCTGGTTGTGGCTAAGAGGAAAGACCCTTGGGGATACTGTTCAAAAGTAAGTCACATCAGTTGCCACAGCTGTCAGGAAGCTCTGTGAGGAGACAATCATGCATGGCATGGAAATTTCATTATGTGACATCAAGGAAATGGAGTCACTTAAAGCATCCACCCAGAGCAGAGTCACACCATGCTGGCTGCACAGTGTCCCTGTCACTTTTCAAACGCAGTGCAGATGAAACAAAAAACAAACCAACAAACAAACAAGCAAAGGTTTGGGAATGCAAAAGCAGCTTCCTCACCAACAAGCAGGCATCTAGCAGTAAGCACCAATTTGGAGGCAGCGGGGTGGGGGCAGCTGGACAGTGTCTGTACCACTGTTGAGTGGTTCAGGAACTGGTCCCTAACGTAGCAGTCAAAGGAGCCAAATCTGTTTGCTACACCACATTCCAGTCTGCCCTACAAAGCTCAAAGGGGATGGAGAGAGGCTGCAAGTCCAGCATCCACAGGGACTGACAGAGGGAAAGCTCAGACTCACTCATTATTAGAAGGGCTTTTCCCTGCCAGTCTGTCTGCAGTTGCTGGCTCTGGCTGCTCCTGGTTACAGTACTGGGAGGGAAGAACCCTTCTTTGCAAGGATCCTGAACCCTCCAGAGCTAGGTAATGAGGCTATTTAGAGAAAGTGTTGCTGTTTCCTTAGAACAGACAGTCAAAGGGCAGCCAAGCTTCCTAGCAGCATCATGAAAACAAAGGATGTGACTGACCCATTTTCAATCAAATGGAAAACTCTGCTTTTATTTCCCCTTTTAGCTCCTCCCTTTGAGACATCTCTTAGCAACAGCTGTGCTTTGCCATCACAAGCCTGTCCTTGTAAGGAAAGGCAAAAGCCCATTAATGAGCCAAACGTATCACTGGGGAAACTCTGCTGACCTAATTACACCAGCCACATATTTGACCCATTATGTTAACCCCCCTCTGCTTCCTCTGCAGTTAAAAGGAAAACATCTTTCAACTTTAATCAGAGCAGCAGGGAATATACAAGGAGCAAGAATGAAGGAGGAGTCAGAAAAGCCATGCCTTTATCTATATCCCACAATATAAGACTTGAAGCCATAACCTAAAGTGAAAACACATACACCTGCAGGGGAGGTGTATCAGGATTGGGTGCAGAGCAGGCTCGATTAACTCAGCTCTAATCCATGCGTGTAAGCACTGGAAGGATGCTTGAAGGACTTCCTTTTACAGTGTGGCTCCAGGAATGTAAAGCCAGTCAGCAATGGCAGTGGGCAGGTGTGTCATGGCTTGCAGCCTCACCCACCAGTAGGTCTCCATGGGATTGTAGCGGTTGTTCGGGTGCGTGGAAGTGAGCGCATCAGTGATGTCATTCAAGACCAGAGACATGTCCTTCAGGCCACTGTTAACGAAGGACTTCATTAGGGCCACATGGCGAGTGAAATATGCCCTCCCATAGTCCTCCCGCACAGTGTCACTGGCCCCGTTCCACAGCACCTCAGCCTCTACATCGATGCTGTCCGCAGTCAGGATGCCCGTCGCTGCCACAAAGTTACTGGGCTCAATGAGGATGACTCTGACACCCCAGCGGTACATCTCCTGCCGAAGACAGTCAGAGAAGGCCTCCACCCCAAACTTGGAAACACAATAGCACGAGCGAGACGGGCTCACCATTCGCCCTAACATGCTTGCGACGTTCACGACGCGGCCTAGAGTGGGAAGAGCAGGGAGAGAAGATTGGTTGGCTGTTCTCAGCTAGTAGGAGGCTGCAGGGGAGCCAGTCAAAACGTCCCAATAAAAGCTGTTTTGTTGGATGATGCTGATTTGTAAAATCTGAATCTTCTGAGTGGCGCCCAGATCCCCTCTCAAGGAGCCTCTATATCCTGACTCAGGCAAGGCTACCTCCTGCTCTGGCCTCCCATGTGGTTGGCACACATGCCTGCCTCCATGTCAAAAAGGATTTACAAAGTGTACAAGACATCCCTCTCTTCCTAATTTCCAAGGAGGGCAGTACCCAGATCTTCTGATGCTATTAGCTGTGTGCTCTTATCTCAGTGTGCCCCGCTCCTCCATCTCACTGGAGAAGGGCTTAAGCTCCTAACTAACAGGGTTATAAGCTGGAAAGTGCATGACACAGCATGATGCCATGTAAGCTTCCTGGCAGTTTCTGTAAGCGTGATAGCTCAGCTGCAGCCACTTGGCCTAACAGAGCTACACTGCTTCTTGACCCAAGCGGAACTGCAGAGAGCCAGTAGAGGTTTCTCTCAACCTGCAGCATCGGCAGTGCAGTTTCTTCACCCGTCTGGCCAGCCAGGAGTGCTACAGAGTTATGCGACTGGGACAAAAGGAGAGGAGACAGAGCATGCCACTGGCTATGGGACCAGTGCAAAAAGCAAGTGTCCTGGGCCCTGACAGTAGCCCCTATCAGCCCAACTGCAGAGCTCTGGCAGCTCATGACAAATTATGCCTTGTCCAGGCACAGTGACAGTAGAAGTCTTCTGTGAGCACTCTATCGTTCCCCAAGACAAAGACACCTGCAACTATGGTTTCAGCTGCACTTACAAATAGGCTCTTCAAATCCCATCAGCTATTTTTGCAGAGAGTATTTTCACAGCTATGGAGTACACCACACTTGCAGAGCCTGAAATTTTAGCTAAGAAACAAGTGGGCAGCTCTGTTCTCTCACCCCAGACCTCCTAAGTGCAGCTCAGAGGGACTGTGAGAATCACAAATTGACCTGATGGGTAGGTTGCCTTTTGTGCCACTCACCCATGGGGCTTATTTAACAGGTAATAGTTTGGAAATAGTATCTGAAAAATCCCCTCGGTGTAACCCCTTTCTGTCCTCACAGAACACACAGCTGTGCCAGCATTCTCCCACACATACTAAATAAAGAAGCCCTTCAGAGTTCTGCTCTTATATGACACATTTTTTATAAAACAAACACTTGTTTTAAATCTTTCTGTAAGATTTGTTTAAAATCTTTCTGTAAGACAGCTAAAATGGCTCTGTTATTGACCCTCATTTATTCCACCACTACAGCTTGGCAGTCATCTGCAAAATGAGTAACATGAGGGGAGAGACTCAGTTGTCCAAATGTAAGCACCTACTGCCTCTTTGGAGACCAAAGGTATCACATGCCTGGCCTCCCGTTACTGTTCCTAAAGGCCTAGGTGTCCCACGGGTCCTGTGTCATATCTGCCAGCACTGCATGAATGTTTCTAATACCTCGGGATGTTTAAGACGGCACCTGCTGTGTAGGTGCCCGGACTGCCCCCAAGGACGACCAACAGCTCCACTGAATCCTTACACAGCCTGTGAAACCTTGCTGTTTGCTTTGCTTGCATGCCTCAGACACCCACCCCTCCCCCACTGGAGCACAGGCATTCCCCAAAGAAGAATTTGATCCATAATTTTTAACTACTCGTCTTCGTTGTGCTGCAAAAGCTCTCTGGCTCTTGCCACCTTGCCCCACCATGTTGCCCTACCTTTGGCTCTGCGAATAAGGGGCAGGAAAGCCTTTGTCACTCTCACAGTGCCCCACAGGTTGATCTCTGCCACTTCCTTATACTTGTCTAAACTTGTGAATTCCACCTCTCCAAAGGTCGAGACACCAGCATTGTTCACCAGGCCCCAGAGACCTGCCAAAAAAAACATGGTTAAAGAGTGGAACAAGGAAGAGGAGTGTTGGAGAGAAGTAGCTTTCCTTGCTGCTCCAGGTAACCCACTCCTTTGACAAAGGACTGGACACTTTTGTAGAAAAGAGTAGAAGAGAAAAAAATACCAAGGAGAGGAAACGGGCTCTGGGACACCAGAAGTGAAGCCAGTAGGGCTCTTTTGGAGCTCCATGGGAGTGATGGGGTCACATCAGCTCTGCCTCCATGAATGCCTCTGGCCTTCAGGCCAGATGCTGTACTGTGCTTGGATCTGGCTGACCCTCTGCTCTGCCGCCTGCAGGTCCTGGGTTTATCCTCACTCACTGCCTATCATAGCTCTTACTATTCAGAGGTGGCTGGACTTTCCCTCAATTTCAAAAAATGGAAGGAGAAGAGTTTTAAAATACCTTGAATTTCTAAGTCCTTTTCATGACTCTAGAGAGTGCATGAGATTGATCTGTCGGTCCAGTGAACACATTGCAAGCTTCATCATTCACTCCCCAAATAGCTCCACAGGCATTTGCAGAGTCAACAAAGGAGCAGTAACAAGGTGACCGCGCTCCCTGGGACAAACCTTACTCACGGCTCCAGCTGGAGGCCAGCCATGCCAGAGACTATGCCTCCCAGTATTAATCCCTTTGACAAACAGCAGAGATGGAAGAAAGGCGCTCCTCTCAGGAGGCCTGCCAAGCTGAGGTAAACTGTCTTCCTTAAAAATAGAAAAGGTAAGAATAGCATTTTTTGGAAAGGCTTCCAACCTGGAAGTCTAACCCGGGAAACAACTCTGAAAATACCTCTGAAATAGCAAGTCCAAGTCATCTCCCGATTTAACAGCATCAAGTTAGGGAACTGGTCACCTTAGCAGCTCCTGGCTTAGCCCAGATAATCGGCTTCTCTCAACCCTGACTATAGAAGAACATGGTAAACTTACTAACCCTTAAAACTACTAGAATTCAAAAATGAACCTCTATCGTGCATGCAGTCCTGTTGAGATTAAATTGGCTGTACTTACCGAGAGCTTCTGCAGTGAGCCCTTTACATGGCTAGAACTCAGCAGCCCATTGAGGAGTTGACCATCAAAAGTGATTACTGCCTGAGTCCCAGCAGCAAACATTTGTAGGACTGAGTCCATACTTTGCAAATTTGTTGAAGCAGAGGACTATACAGCCATAAACAGCAGTAGGACCAAGCAACAGAAGAACCAGAACAAGATCTCAAGAGTTGCTGCTCATTAGATATCCCACCATACACCATTGTTGTTCTCATTGTGCAACTACCCAGTCAGAATCGGGGCCCTTTTCTACTCTGTGACTTTTTTTTTTTTTTTTAAATCATTGAGCACATACAAACACAGGACTGGGAAGGAGCCTTCATGTCTAGGGAGTTCTGACATTGCTATCACAAATACCCAAGTCATGCCACCCTGTTGATAAACTTATCAAGCTCTCTTGAAATGTTTGGGCCGTTTGCCCTGCCTCTGCTCCACAGCCTCCCTACTCTGATGTCTGGAAATCTTTTAATAACTTCCAGCCTACGTTTATTTGTAGTCAAATAATAACCATACAGTGTACCGAACACAGTCCTCCAGGCAAACTGCAACTGTCCACAATGGCCAAATAAATACCAGTGGAATTGACCTTGCTGGTGCATTTAAAATCAGCAACGTGCCCTGGATAGACTGGCTGTCCACTCTCATGATGGCCCTAGTAACCCTCCCCTGCCCTGTTCATTTTCCCTGAATGCTGTGGCAAGCAGTATATAATGTCTGGAGAAGGTCACGTCCCACCCAGTGACAACAGTAAAACAACCATTCCTCCTGGTCTATCCCAGAATAGATTTTCCTGTTCACCTCCCATAGCTGCCACCCTTCCAGCATTTTCTAGCTGTTACGCATTCAGTCCAGCTCCACTTTTACCCTGCATTTCTATCTCTGACAGACAGTGATGAATACTGCTTCCCTAGGACAGTTCATTGGCCAGCAGCTCTATCCTCCTCCAGATCCATCGCTTCTCAATCCCAGACAGGCCACAAAGGCCCAGAGAATGTTTAGGATAATGGCTAAGTGGTGACCTGCAGCAAAAACAAGAAAACATACTGCTCACCTACCTTTATTCTATTTTTATTAATTCCAGTTTCTAAATGCTGCAGTTAGGTACCTCTATTCCTGCTTCCAGCCAACATCCCCTGCTTCTTCCTGCTGCACTTAACTCAAACTACCGGCTTTAAGGGGTCAGGATCACTCTGAAATCTATGCTCAAGTAGCTGGCACAGCATCTCAGCCTGAATGGGGTCCCCTGTACTGCTTCAAAGCAGTCTCTAATCTCTGGCAGAATCACAAGAAACACAGCATCTGATGGCGTAACTCCACTGGTACCAAGAAGCTACGCAGAGCAAATTTGGCAGGGATTTACCAAAGACCACAAAGACACCTACACTCATAGTCCCAAACTGAGTCCGCAGACCAGTTCCTGGTTCCAGCTTTTTCTACAACCATTTCTTGGTAATCAGGTTCGATTTAGGGACATCTATGAAAAAGTGATTTAAAATGGTTCGTTCTTCTTGGGATTTCGTTACTAGCTGATCAGGTCACGTTACATACAGTACAAAGTGCTGATAGTTATCTGGTCACTGGGCTGTTTGCAGGACAGTGATGTGTTTATGGAGCAGAACCTTATCACTATTATTTCTTTACTGTGAACAATACGGCGGGAACTGGATAAGATCAAAAGATAACAGTGGCACTCCCACCAAAATGAGTTTAGACTCCAAGGGTATATGCATATAGCAAAGCAAAAAGAGGTATGAATGTATAACACAGACCTGTTCTGCACTAGCTCCCATGGAGCCACGCTTGGTGTGCAACAAGTGCCTCTGTGCAAGGCACTTCACTCTCAATACAGAGTATTTTCCTGTACCCGTTTCTTGGGCAGTGCTTATTGACAAGCTTCAAATATCAGTCACACTGACACTCCTGAAAAGAAGTGTTTGCTATGTTGCACATAGTGCTGCAGTAAATAATGAAAAGATAAGGGTCTCAGAGCCGGAGGGACTGGCCCAACTTGCTGATCAAGGATGCAAAATTTCTCTGTCCCTGCGAGGCACAAGGTTTTGCAAACACTGCTGCATTTATAGAAGCAACAGAGCTACTCCCTCGCAAGCTATCAGTCAGTGGGAAACAGCTCTGTGCCACTGCTGTTGTTGCTAGATTTTTCAGGAAAAGCTTGAGAAGCTGTAAAACGTGTGATGACAGTTGGATGACTGTGTAAAGAAGAAGAGTCACGCAGAGCGAGCATGTGTGGGAAACAGAGCCTTGGTTGCACTTCATATGCTTGTTTTAGGAGGAAGGGTGTGCTCACATACTTTGCATGAAAGTTAGAGCTGCTGTTACCTACTAGCTTTACACTTGCTGTGAACAAAGACAGGCTCACGGCAGCCTCACCCACGCCTTAAGAGGAGCAACCACACTTCCAACCACACAACGTGTTAAGTCCTGGAGCCACAGATGTGAAATTCAAGTCCACCTTCAGCCAGGGTCTGCAGCCACTGTTCAGCCTGCTACTCGCACACAGGCTGCAGAGAAATCCACGTGAGGCAAAAAGTCTCACAAATTCAGCACATGGGAAGAGGTGAGGAGGCATACCAGACTCTAGCTATAAGCTCATGTGCTGCTGCCTGGCCACACACAGGAGCAGCTGCCTGAAGCCCAACACAGGAGTCAAGCCGTGCTGCAGCAGCTATATGATCATCCATCCCCTCCTAGGCACCTCTGCACCCCTCACTCATGGAAGTCAGTGGAGGGGTTGACATGGGACACGCAGCACGAGCAACATTTGGAGCTGCCTGTGTTCTCATGGGCTGGCCCTCAACAGGTACTCCCTTGATCTCCCAGCCCCATACACATTGCCAGAAAGGAAGAAAGCAGGCAGAAAGGACTCTTGCCTTCTTTTATATGTTCCTAGGGCCTTTGGGCTGGGCTTACCCCTAAGGTGGCATGTGTTCTAAGGTGGTCTAGGCTGAGACCATCCTGGCTCCTCCCTCACACCACCTCTGGACAGTTGCACAGCAACCTGAAAACAGGGACTGACCTGGCTGAAGAATGACCTAGGTTTGGAGGCAGGTTGGATTTCCAGTCCGGCTCATTCACTCAGTTACAAAAACAGGTTGTACCAGCACACCAGAAGGGATAGCAGTGAGCAACCAGGGCCTGCGACTTCATTAGCCACAAGGGTCACCACAGAAAGGTCTGTGGGATCCAGACCCCAAAAGGAGCATCAGAAGCGGAGCAGGCTCTAGACACCACATGCCCTTCACAGACCCTCAAGGAGACACACACGCTCTTGTGGGCTTGCTGCCACCCATCGCTTTTTTGGCGGGAAGTAGGGTTACAACCTTAAGCTCCAGTGAGCCCTGGTCTCTTCCCATGTGGCTGGCATGTCAATGGCAAGCCAGTTCTCCCCACTGACCTGAATATTGCACTGCCTGATAGCTAGTCACACACTGTCCCAGGCCTCCAGGGTTGTTAATCATGATCTGGCAGTGCAGAGAAGGAACAGCCTGGCCAGAGCAGAGCCAGCTCCAGAGGAAGGTGTCTGTGAGCGCACCAAAGGGCCAGTTGGCTCAGGGGGACAGAGATCCCCACAGACCTTTCTCTGGCTCCTTCAGGTTCCTCTTCACAAAATCCACAGCTTGAGCCACTTCCTGGTCACTGCACACATTGATCTGCAGCACCTTCATGCGATCCGATTCCATGCTCTTCAGCTCCCTAGCTCCATCTCCTTTCTCATCCTGCTCAACAAAAACAAAAGAGGTCACGGTAAGAGGGATTAGTAGCAGTAACGCACCTTGCGGTCAAGTATATTCACATGGATAAGAAATAGGGGCTACTGAAATTGCACTTGGAGGTGTGCAAACAGGCACACAAGCCACATTAACCAGTGTGCAGCCCACGGCTGCTTTCTTATTCCCTCCAGCACAATTGCTCTATCTCTGTTGCTGACCTGCTGCTCTGAAAGGGCAGTAGCACTCCTTCTGCTTGCTCCCCATGTGTAGTGCTACACAGCTGTAACGCTGCCAGTTACTACGCCAGCTTGGGACAACCCTGGGGGACTCTCTGCTGCCCCAGTCCCCATGCTCTACAGGTAATGCAAACACTTTTACATGAATCAGAGTCAGAACTTCTGGGCTTAAAAGCAAAAGGCTAACGGAGCACCTTGCTCATCTGCTTGCAAAATATCTCTTGGTTTCTGATGAAATACTATTGTCAGACCACTCTGAAAGCAAGACTTGAGGGATACCTTTGGCATGACTGACAGCAAACAGTTTGATGCTACAGGATACAATAGAAAACATTTCCTGCTG